TTTGCTTGTTTATTTATTTGGTTTTTGCTAGGCGTGACAGCGTAATGGCCAGAGGAGCACAAAGTCATTCAGGAAACAGGCTGATCCCATTTCATCCACACACAGGAAGCAGAGAGAGAAGAGGAAGCAGGACAAGGCTATAGATCTCTATATTCTTACCATCTCAATTCTAAATTCCACAAAAGTGGAAAGACGGTCTCATCTCATCAATGTGCTCAATCATTATTTGTTTATGAAAAGAATGTAAAATGTAAAAAATTAAATTAATTCTGATTTTGATTGAAAGAAATCTTCAGAGAGGAGTTCTAATTTTTTCTAAATCTTTAAAATAAAGTTATGTATGTGTGTGTATGTCTACATGAGACTATGCTCTATATGTGAAGTACTCTTGGAGGCCAGAAGAGGGTGTGGGATCCCCTGGAGCTGGAGTTACAGGCAGTTGTGAGCTGGGAGGTGAACTCAGGTCAGGTCCTCTGGAAGAGGACTGGCCTCAACTCAGACTGGCCCAGGCTGGCCTCAAACTCAAAGTCCTCCTAGCTCTGCCTCTTACATGCAGAGATTACGGTTATGCACCCATACACCCAGCTCTAAAATGCTCTTTAAGATCTGGAACAGGGTGAGGAGATGGTTCAGCAGTCAACAGCATTTGCTGCTCTTCCGGAGGACCTGACCTCGTGGAATTTCTAATTGAGATGGCAAGACTGTAGAAAATGTAGCCAGGCAGTGGTGCCCCACACCTTTAATTCCAGCTCTTGGGAGGCAGAGGCAGTCAGGTCAAGAGTTCAAGGCCAGCCTGCTTTATAGAACAAGTTCCAGGACAGCCAGGGCTACACAGAGAAACTCTGTCTCGAAAAGCAAAACAAACAAACAGACAACAACAAAGAAAGAAAAAAAAGAATATGGAAAGTGTAATAATTTTGTCTTTTTCTAAGACTTATTTTTATTTTAAATTATGTGTGTTTGTGTGTGTGTTTTAGGTACGTGACTGAGAGTGCAAATGATATGTATATGTGTGTATTTGGGTATGTGACTATGAGTGCAGATGATGTGTGTGTGTGTGTGTGTATGTGTGTGTGTGTGTGTGTGTGTAGGTATGTGAATGTGAGTGCAGATAATGTACATATGTGTGTGTGTGTGTAGGTATGTGAATGTGAGTGCAGATAATGTACATATGTGTGTGTGTGTGTGTGTGTGTGTGTGTGTGTGTGTGTGTTCAGGTATATGAATGTGAGTGCAGATAATGTATATATGTGTGTTTAGGTATGTGACAATGAGTGCAGATGATGTGTGTATGTGTGTGTTTGTGTGTGTGTGTGTGTAGGTATGTGAATGTGAGTCCAGATGCTGCAGAGGTCATTGGATCTACCTAATGTGGGAGCTGAGAACTGAACTTCAGTCCTTTAAGAGAGTGACCAGTGCTCTTAACCACTGAGCCAACTCTCCAGCATGAAAATGCAGTGATTTTAAAACAGAAATACCTGTTTCTGGAAAAATACACAGTTCATGAATTTATTTTATTTATTATATTTTGAGACAGGGTCTCACTGTGTATCCATGGCTGGCCTGGAACTCACTATGTAGACCAAGGTGGCCTTGAACTTACAGAGATCCGCCGGCCTCTGCCTTCTGAGTACCAAGATTAAAGATGTGAGCCGCCACATTCAACAGCCCAAGAAATTTTATTTTAACAGAAATCTGTCCTATACTGAAGTGTACAATATGGAAAACTTACAGAGGACATAATGATTGGAGGAACACGTGAACCTATGCTTAAGGAGGAATAAATACAAATTCCACACTGATAGGAGAAAACAATTACATGGAGGCTAATTTACAAGAAACATGGAACATAAGGACGCTGTGGAGAAAAGTGTGTTAGGAGAGAACTTGTTTGTAAGTGTAAGCAGGTTTGTAAGTTTATCTTAAAGGATGGGAAGACATTTAAGTGGCCTGTGTTAGAGTAGATGATGCATTTGAAAGGATCACTTAGAGGCCAGGCAGTGGTGGCACACACCTTTAATCCCAGCACTTGGGAGGCAGAGGCAGGCGGATCTCTGAGTTTGAGGCCAGCCTGGTCTACATAGCGAGTTCCAGGACAGCCAAGGCTACACAAAGAGATTCTATCTCAAAAAACAAAACAAAAAACAAAAAAGAAAGAAAGAGAGAGAGAAGGAGGGAGGGAAGGAGGGAGGGAGGGAGGGAGGGAGGGAGGGAGGGAGGGAGGGAGGGAAAGAGAGAGAGAAGAAAGAAAGCAAGTATCACCTAGGTTGCTGTAGAACTGAAGAGAACTGGGATAGATTTAGGACTGACCAGGCAGTGAGGACAAGTCTTAATGGGAGATTGAATGCAATAATGAAGCGGTCAGTTTGTGTACTGAGGTAGAAAGAAATTAAAGGTTAGAGAAAAGGGCTGAGGAAATGGCAGGTTGAGTCTTGAGCGTGTTGAGTGGGAGATACCTCCACGGAGTTAGCTCGACAATGAACCTGTGAGTCTGGTGATGAGAGATCGGGCCTAGAGATAAAAATATCTCAGGCATCAATGTGCAGTTATTAAATCTGGGATGTAAATGAAAATTCCTAAAGGGAGCAGAAAGTCAGAAGGAAAAAGCCCTTGAGGCACCATTATTTAACAACACATGGAGGAGAAAAGTAGGGGTTGGAGAGATTCTTAGTGGGGAAGCACTTGCCGGGCAGGTGTGAGATCATGGCTTTAGATCCTAAGAACTTGAACAAAAACAGGGTACAGAGCCGGGCGGCGGTGGCGCACACCTTTAATCCCAGCACCCAGGAAGCAGATAAAGGCACCTGTCTATGAGTTCAAGACCAGCCTGGCCTACAGAGTTAGTTCTAGGACAGCCAGGGCTACCCAGAGAAACCCTGTCTTAAAAACAAACAAATCTGAGAAGTAGGGTACAGCAGCACACATCTGTAATTCCTGTGCCCCTATGGGGAGGTGGGAGGTGGGGGCGAGAGCGTCCCTTGAAGCTTAGCCTACGAGTGTGCACATTGCCCAGAAGGCAAGGACCAATGCCAAAGTTGTCTTCTGACCTCCATATATGTGCCATGGCATGTATACACCTGCACTTACAGTGTGTACACATCACACACACATGCAAATCATAATCATGCATATATAAATACACATACACACAAAAACAAGAAGAACAGACCAAAAGAAAACAGCTGGAAATAAGAAAAGCTGACTAGCCGGGCAGTGGTGGCACACGCCTTTAATCCCAGCACTCGGAAGGCAGAGGCAGGTGGATCTCTGTGAGTTCAAGGCCAGCCTGGGCTACAGAGCAAGATCCAGGACAGGCTCCAGAGCTACACAGAGAAGCCCTGTCTCGCAAAAACCAAAAAACAAAAAAAACCAAAAAAAAATAAACAAAAAAAAAAGAAAGAAAAGAAAAGCTGACAAAGAAGGATGAAGACAGAAGGATTTCACATGAGTTTATTTTTATGCATGTTTAATTGTGTGTATGGGGAGGGTGTGTACGGCATGTGGATATGTGTGTGTGTGTGTGTGTGTGTGTGTGTGTGTGTGTGTGTGTGTGTGTGTGTGTGTTTATATGGTACATGCATCCCCATGCAGAAGCAAAGCAGGATGTTGAGTATCTTCAAACGCTCTCCTTATTACCCCGAGACAGGGTCTCTCACTGAATTGGAAGCTCACCACTGTCACTAGGCTGGCTGGCCAGTGAACTCTTGGAATCCATCTCTCTTCCCTCCCAAGGCTGGAGCTGCAGCTACTCACAGGCATGCTGACTTTTTACACAGGTCCTAGGGATTTGAACTCAGCCGTGGATGCAGAGCAAGTGCTTTAACCCAATGAGTCATCTTCCCTGCCGCCATCATCATCATCATCATCGTCATCATCATCATCATCCATGGGGTCTCATGTATCCCAGGCTGGCTTCAAACTCTATGTAGGTGAAAATAACCTTGAACTTCTGATCCCTTCCAAGTATCGGGATTACAGACACACATTACCACATTTAGTTTACAAAGCGATCGAGCTCAAACCCAGAACTTCATTCATGCTAGGCAAGCCCTCTACCAATTAAGCTACACCCTCAGGCCTCCTTCTGATATTTTTCTAGTATTATTGCTTTGCATAAATATTTGGAAACCTTTATTGGAAGTGTAGTCAGTCTTCACTTTTGAATAGAGGATGTACACAGATATTCCTAAAGGTCGACTTAGGGATATTTTAACAGATCCCAATCCCAGACAAATGCACACATGTGCAAACACTGCAGGTGTTATGATGATGGGTGGGAGATAAAACCATCATTTGGGTCTTGATATATCAAATAGTATGAGTTGGGCTGGAGAAATGGCTCAATGGTTAAGAGTACTTCCAGAGAATCTGAGTTTGGTTCCCAGCACCCATGATCGCCTCTGTGGGCACCCATACTCACGTGTGTGATACAATCTAGGGGTCTTGATCAGGTTCATTTTCTCTGCCAGTTAAAGAATTATAAGGCGAGCAGGGGGGACAATCTCTCAAGCAAGATACGTAGCAGCAGAGAAATCTCAAAGTATGAAAGTGGGAGCAGATAGATTCAGTTGAAGGAAGGTGTTTATCGGGAGGTGAGAACACACGCATACAGCAGACACACAGAGAAAAAGACCCTCTGCAAAGCAGAGGAGGCATTCAGGAACCCCAAAACCCCAGGCTCTTCTCCAGGGCTCAGGTTGTTGAAATCTCTGAAGAGTTTCCCTCCCCCAGCTTAGGGCTGATCACTTTGAAGAAAGATAGAATAGTCTATTGGCCCATAACTGTTGTGTAACAGTCCATCAGCTGAGGGCCTATTGGCAGAGGGAAAAAGGCCTTCCAGGACTTTGTTTTAAGCTGTCAGGCTTTTGTCTCAGACCAGAAGGTGAGGAAGAAGGCAGCCATCTAGGAAGTTGGTCACCTGTGTTACCTAGCCATGGCCCTTCTCCTTGTCTGCCTACCAGAGAGTCTAACTCCTGGTCTCTTGTGTGCATACCCCACATTCCCCCAACAGAGACACACAATTAAAATAAAAATAAGACATTAAAAATAGTGTGAGTTGTTATTACTAGGTATAAGGCAGAGTCAATACATTTCACTTGAAAAAGGAATTTTAGAGTTGGTATCTTTGAAGCTCACTGTGGGTGCTTTCAAGACGGTCCAGATGAAGGAAGAGCTGGTAGCGAGGCTGTGTGAATCTGAGACGGAGTCCCTCTACTTTCAACTTCCTGTCTTCTTCCTCGGACTTTCCGGAAGCAAAGCGTTGTCCGAAAGCTCTGCTACTACCTTTCTGAGCATGTCTTTCAACGCTTCCTTGACTCGATCGTTGCGCAAGGCATAGATAAACGGATTCAGCAGAGGAGTCACAAATGTTGTTACCACTGTCACTGACCAATTAGTATCCACGGAGCCACTCTGTGACGGCCGTACATAGAGAAAAATGGCACTCCCATAGAAGAGGGTTACCACCATCAAGTGGGAGGTACAGGTGGAGAAGGCCTTCTGCCGGCCTGATGCGGAAGGAATACGCAGGACAGCCAGGACGATTTGGCCATAGGATGCAGCGGTAATAGTGAGTGAGGACACAATGACAAGAAAGGCGAGGATAAAGTCAGTCTCCTCCAGCTTCGTGGTGTTGGTTCATGCCAGGTGTAGCAACGGGCCACTGTCACAGAAGAAATGCTGTACCACAGCGCCCTGTTTGCAGAAAGGAAGTAAGGCCACTGTCACTGTGGGGCCAAGCACGGAGAGGAGTCCCCCTACCCAGCAGGCTAAGGCCACACGAAAGCACACAGCTCCGCTCATGAGCAAGGGGTAGTGCAGAGGTCGGCAGATGGCCAGGTAGCGGTCCACAGACATGACAGCCAACAGGAGGAACTCAGAGGCCCCGAGAAAGAAGTAAAAATAAAACTGGGCAATGCATGCAGCAAAAGAAATGGTGTGTTGTTTTGAGAGGAAATTGCTAAGCATCTTAGGAATGATGACAGAAGTGATCAGAATCTCTAGGCAGGACAAGTTACCCAGGAAGAAATACATGGGCGTCTGCAGACGATGATCAGCTCCTACCACCCCCACAATCAACGCATTTCCCGTTAGAGTCAACAGGTAAATAAGAAAGAACGTAGAAAACAGTTCCACTCCTGTGCTGTTAAGATTTGGGAAACCTGCCAGGACAAACTCTGTAGTCCCATCACTGTGGTTCCCACATGGGGCCATTATTATCTCTTCCGCCTGTAAGACAATATGAACGTGGTCATGAGAAAGGAATGTCCGATTACTCATCCTGAAACTCAACATCATTATCTGATTACAGAGCTGGAGAAATTTTCCCTAAAGAGTAGCTCAGCCTTAAGAAAATATCAGGAGCCTGAATCTCCACATATCTCACTCTCAAATCTTGACTGATGGTTCTTCACGATGACGAGGAAAATCTCTCTGAATATCTGAATTGGGCGAAGATATGAGAACACGATTCTGTGAAGAAACAGGCTCCCGCTGACTTCCTGCCTTTGAGTTCTTGTGTCCCTACTCTCTGGGCTGAGTCCACTGTGCTCCTTGGCTGCAATTTTTGGTAAGGAGTGAGTGAAATAACAGGACAAAGGATTCCAAAGCGTTTCCAATGCCAACCTAACAAATGAAGTGGCAGAGAAAATCCTAGGATGAAAGTCAAAATCTAGGCCTGGCTTGCCACCACATTTGGAAGATGATCGAGAATGGAGCTTTGTTCGCATTTCAATAACCGAGTCACACAACTGGCAGTAGAAGCTGGGCCATTTTGTACATGAATTCTCCCTTTTTATGGAGAATGAAGAATCGAAGGAAACTCAGATCTCCACAAAATGTTTGCATTTCTGAAGTAAGTTGTAATACGAAAAAGGAGGATAGAACAGTAAGCCATGTTGATTCATTTAATTAGTCTGCTGCCTTCAAGTTAAGTACACTTGTTAATATAAATATGAGTTCATGAAGCCTTTTTTCAATTTGTGACACTTTCTCCGCTGAACCACAGTCCAAAACCTTTCCAAAACCGGACGCCATTGGATTGTCAGAAACAGAATTACTAATTCCTGGCTATAATTAATTAAATTGGAAATGGAGCTGGTTCAAGTCCTTCCAGTTCCACCAACTAAAAAAATAAAAATAGCCAAAGTGATGAGATCCTGAAGTGCTGTCTTAATGGAGTCTCCATTAAAAGATAAGGAAAACACAAAAGAAAAAACGAATTAAAAACATCAGAATTGATTTTAAAAGCATTGATTCTTCTCTAGCTGTACTGTTCTGAACACACCCCAACCATCCAATTCCCAGCAAACATTAGACTCCTTACATTCTGCTCTATTATCCTTTCTCACCTCCGAATCTTAGATGTGTGAGTGGGAAGCATTTGTACCTTTTGTCTAGGACACAGCAGTTTTGTGATCCTTCACCTTAGGGGCTCATCCGGTGTCCTCCCTCCAGCCTCTACAGAAATCACATTGTATAGGTTAGGACTGCCGTGTTATCTCTGCTCTCCTCATGTGCCACATTCTGTATTCGGTGATTCAGAGACAGGCCACATTGCTGGGTCACTGTTCAATGCCTAATGATGTGACAGAACAGTTAGGGTTCGTGACCAGAGGAAATGCTACTGGTGTGTGGAGAATGCCAAGAAGGATATCAGAAATGAGCCTCACAGAGAGGGGAAAACAGTATTCTCAAGAAAGAAATGCCTAAAATAAACAGTCTCAAGTGAGTGCTTGAGGCGGGAGGGACATTTCCACGGAAGCAATGCATTCGACCAAAGAACAGAAACTAAGGAGACAACACCGGATATCCAAAGACAGACCTATTTTCTGGACCCTCTGACATTCCCTATGAAACTGCTTCTCTGGCCTGAGCCTATCTTTATCTGAAGTGACAGGACAGTGACTTACCTGCTCCCAAATGCCATTGATACCTTCACAAGTGTAGGGCCTTGAAATATTTATCTTTCCCAATTTACGAGTCAACATCCCCTTCCATGCTATGGTCCTTCCGGCACCCTGTACTGTGAAGCTGATGGTAGCCTGGTGTCCTTGGCGTTCCAAGGGATGGATGCTACACTCGGGAAAACAGAGAGTTGGGTAACGCCTCTTCCCTTGGGCTTTCTGCCCTGGCATAACCTCTGGTACTAATTTTCTGCCTAGTGAGCACAGGGGCTTTCTGACCCTGAGGAGGGTGTTACACTGTTCCTTCACAGGCTTTCTTTGTTTGATGTTTGTTTTGAGACAGGGTCTTGATAAGCAGCCCTGGAACTTGCTACATAAACCAGGTTGGCCTTGAATTCACAGAGAGGGGTCTGCCTCTGCTTCCTGAGTGGTGGGGTTAAAGGCATAAGCCACCCTTCCTGGACACACTGCTCCTTCTTTTGCCACAAGCAAGTCAAACATTCGGGCCCTGTCTTCTCTGTGTAGAAAGAATGGCTCGGACAACATGATCAGTGCTCTAGTCTGTACTGGGCACAACACAAGTGTCTCGACACTCTAAAATGTCACTCCCAGGACAGTAGCTAGAGGGCAAGTGGAAAACATCGAGGGTTCCTTCTACCTTGAGAATACAACACACTTACCAATCGCTGTGTTCATCTCTAGGGGTTGAAAAACACTCCACTTTTTTTCCTTGTCTTGCTGATGGATTTCAGGTGTAGAGTGTCCATTGTCTACTTTTAGACCCCGCTCTTCCTGGCTCCTGGTTTTAGAGAGCAGGGAAGAGCACTTGAACTCCCTGATAAGTATCTGTATCAAAATTCACCATGAGCCACTTCAGTTTCTAGTCGGGGAAACAAGACTCGATCCAGACATGAGGAGCGTACAAAGCAGTGGTGCCGTGTAGAGAGAAATTACCCAGACAGCGAGGGATAAAGGAAAAGAGAGAAGGCGGGGGTGCCAACGCGGTCCCAGACGCCCGGGAGAAGTCTGTAATTCTATGGCCACTTTCTAGACACTGTGCCTGGTAAATCTGAAAAGGAGACAAGGAATGATTTCTTCATTTGCTGTCAACCATTCCGTCAGGTGACTGTAAAAGGAGCATTAACTATGGAAATGGGGGAAATCATGGCATCCGACCAGCACCAACTGCCTCTCTCCTCGTGACACTCAGGGGGAGATATTTGTAACCCCAGTAACACAGACATCATCTCTTTACCCTGAGGACTTGAAACAATAGTGTGAATCTTTCCCTTGGGTTCTATGGTGGAAAATAATGGGAGGCCCAAGGGTGTGATAAGATAGTAAAAGGCTGTACGGACCCTCTTCTGTTGCTTCCCCGGCCATCTACTTTATACCCTACCAATCCCATGTAATTCCACACACCCAAAATATGGTCAAGGATTCTGGACAGCTGCTCACATGTTCCCATCTCTATGAACTATACGCTCCTTACTAAAGACTTGATGACTTCTTGTTCAGGTTCAAACTGGTTTACTCAGTCCTTCTACCTATTCCTCTCCATCCTATCTTTCCGACCACTTTCCAACCAGAACTATGGCCCGTTCTGCTGGCTTCCCTTTCTCAATGCTTGGAACATACTAGATGCTTAAAAACAGCACGTGTGTTAACCTGCCCTGAACCCCAGACTGGAAGAGCAGCTGCTCTTCTGAAATAGACATGAATTGGGTTTTGAGCCAAGAACACCCAGGGCTTTCTAGGGTCAGTTTGACTGGATTCCATCCTTGCTGGACGTAATGCTTCTGAGAGCATAAAAGATAGCCGTAAAGAATCCTGGGCAAAGTGAGACAAGTCATCACTAGACTGTAAAGGAGGGGGCAAGAGTGGACTGGAGGACTGTCAAAGCTGCCACACCAAATCAGGCTCTAAGCTAGGGCTCTCACTTGCTAAGCTAAGGGAAGGATGTGTCTGAAGAGAAGACCCAAGAAGTATGAGAGCCGTCCGGGGAACTCTACACAAAATTCTAAACCTTCACTGAAACATGAGCATATGGCTCATGCCTGGGATCCCAGCACATGCTCAGCACATGGGAGGGCTGCCCTGATTTTGAGCCCAGCTTGGGATGTATAATAAGATCCTGTCTCAAAGTAAAACTTTGTGGTTGAACTATAATACTAAAGCTACTGAAAAAGAAAGAATCAGGCAAGATCATATTTTTTTAATTACAGAACTAGTTTTTCAAAACTGAAATTTTTTTGCTAGCACACAAATGAGTTGGTTTCCTTGAGACATTTCCTTAACGCATATTATTGTCATTTGTTTATTTTTATTTGCCCTCTTGTCCCTCCCCACGTCCCTTCTCAGTGTCTTGTGAATGAATCCCCTTCTACCTTCCGACTTCGTGGCACACACCCCCATTACCCTCTCTCGTTCCCCCTACCTTTAGATCTTTCTCTCTTTCAGTCACGTTCTTACTTCCATATCCTACATACACATATCCAAACATGTGTGTGTACAATGTATGTATAAATTTAGATCTAGGCTCCATATATGAAAAAAAAACACAATATTTGTCATCTGAGTTTGACTTATTTCCATCCGTTTTCCTCTGAATGTCATGATTTCATTCTATTTCACAGCTGAAGACAGTTCCATTGTGTGTCTTCACCCATGTGTTCCTTTTCTGTCAATCTGTTGATTGTCGTTCAACTCCATTTCTTATCTGTCACGAATACAGCAGCAATGGGCACGGATGTGCGAGGATCTCTGTGGTGTGCTGACTTGGACTCCTTGAGTATGGCTGGATTATACGGGAGTTTTTAGTAATTTGAAGAGTCTCCATGTTGATTTCCATATTGGTTGCATCAGTGTAGTCTTACCTGGAATAAAGAAAGAGTCCTTTTTCCCTACATGCTGGTCGGCATTTGTTGTCATTTGTTTACTTCGTGATTCCAACTGGAGTGACATGCAATCTCGAAGTAATTTCAATTTGTTTCCTGATGGCTAAGTATATTAAACACATCCTAAAATCTTCATTGGCCATTCGTGTTTTGTTTTCTTGGAGAGCTATCTATTCAATTCATTAGCTCATTTGTATGAGTTATATGATTTTCGGTATTTAGCTTTTGGGTTTTGTATAGTGTTCACACATTGATCTCCTATCAGACAGAGTCAGCAGAGATTTTTTTTTTTTCCATTTAGCAGGCTGTTTCTTCTTTCCAATGACGGCTTCCTTTGTGGCACTGAAGAGGTTTAATCTTGTTTGTCAACTCTTAAGTTTATTTCCTATACAATTAGAATCTTTCCCAGGAAACCCTTACCTATTCTTGAAGCATTTCCCCTGTGTCCTCTAGCAATCTCAAAGTTTCAGGTATTACCATAAGGTATTTGATCCATTTTGAATGAGTTTTTCTGCAGGGTAAGAGGTGTGTAGTTTCATTCTTCTGCATGCAGACACGCACTTTTCCCAGAACGATTTGTTGAAGAGACCCTTTATGCCAGAACATATTTATGATGCCTTTGTTAAAGATTAAGTATTAAAATTACAGAGCTACTTGTATGAAAATAGCTTTGGCATTCAGCTAATAATACAGTCAAACCTAACTGATCATATAACAGTAGAGCATATTAGAAAAATTTTTGCTTATATTTGTGGCTTTATAAGCTTATGATGTTTTAGATTTCATCTTTAAGTATATGCACATGGTTCAAAAGTAAAGCTATAACAACATATAGGGCCGGGCGGTGGTGGCGCACGCCTTTAATCCCAGCACTCGGGAGGCAGAGGCAGGTGAATCTCTGTGAGTTCGAGGTCAGTCTGGTCTACAGAGCAAGATCCAGGACAGGCACCAAAACTACAAGGAGAAACCTTGTCTCGAAACACACAAAAAAAACAAAAACAAAAACAAAAAGAACAATATGTAGGTTAACAGCACTAGGTGTAGCTCAATGGGAGTGTACTAACTGCACGTACAAACCCACTTGTATCCCCAGCAACAC